CACACAGACAACCTCTCGTCAGTATGCGTTTTCTGCATTGCATAGCTGCAAAAAACGCATAAAAAGAAGATACGGCTTTCAATATACAGAATTTATCTGTTTAGCAAAGGAAAACAAACTCGAGCGCCTATAGAAAAGTGAGGAGAGCAATAACTGGAAAGTCAGGTTGAAGACCATGGGGGCCGGTGAACACTTTGTTGCATCGAGAACGATACATCTGTAGAAGACGATCGAGCGGGATCCCGGGAAATAAAACAGTTGGAGGCGAGAAGCCGCCGGATCGAGCTGATGCTAAGAATCGAATTCCGAGTGGGAGAAAAGAAGGTTTATACAGGGAGGAAAGGAACCCTTCGAGATTTCAAATTCAGTGAAATTTTTAACTATTTTTCAGCGACTCAGCTATTTTTGCACAAACTAAAGTGCAAATCAGTAAAAATCATTAACGGGCAATCGTCCGGTGAGTGGAATTGTACAAAACGCATGATCGTACCGGCCGTTCTGGTGCGCGCTGCTACTTTTATGCGTTTTTTGCATCTGTGCAATGCAAAAAAAGGTATATTGTCGAGGGGTTGTCCTGTGTGTGCCTCTGCAACGAGTTTTCATCCTGAGATCCACAAAAACTACAAGGCTGAAACTTTGGTACCTTAATCTATTCATACGTGCGGGCTCCCATCCTCAAAATGGACGCCCAGGTTCCCACGGTTCTCACGTACGAGCACGTGAAAATTTTTCTGGCAGAGGAGCGTTTTCGGGAACGGTGCGAGCTAGGAGGTTGGAACTTTACAGAAATGTTCTTTAGCTGCGTCCAATTTAAAAATTTCAAACTTGGCCTTCACGCAACCTGAGAACTACATAAGCAAACGTCAAAGTCTAAAATGGCACCATGCCAACTTCATTTTTAAGCTGACCAAGAAGTTGTAGAGAGCTGCAATTTTGCAGCGTTACTTGTCGCTAACTGTTGTGCCCGTAAAAATAAATTGAGTTTTCCAGCCCATCTGCATCTCACTCACGGACACGTGAAAATTTCACGAATGCACTTTTGTAACTTTGGAACTGAAGCAGATAGAGGACTATAATTTTTTGAACATAACCAACAGTGGCTTTCGACCAGATGGACGCAAAAACGAATTGCACATCACTTCCATGTCTCACGTACACACACGTGAAATTTAGCGCATTGCAACTAAAGCAGCAAGGGCGCTGAAATTTTCTGGGCGTTACCTAGGACCCTGTTTGAGCACGCAAAGAAAACATTCACGTTCCCAGTCATGTAAGAACACGCGAACTTTGACGTAACTCCGCAACCAGACCAGCTGGAGGGTCGAAACCTTCTGAGCGCTGCCCAGGCCGTGCTTGAGCAATCGCACACAAGCACTGCCCAAGGCCATCTTTGAGCAATGCCACTCACGTACGAGCACGTTAAATTTGGCCGAAGCATCTATACTGGTGAATTTTTTGGGCATGGATTGGAAGTCGTAATAATTTCTAACAATCGTGATGGCTACTCGCAATTCTTTTAAAAGCATCTGCGGGAAAAAAAGTGTCAAGAACAAAAATTTGTGGGAGAACTGTGCAAAAAATGCATCTTCGCACCAGCAGCCGGTATGATTTCGACTAGGTTATGCGTTTTTGCTGTGCAGCGCTAGAGCGCTGCAACAGGCAGCAAAAACGCGTATGCCAGAGCCCACATACGAGCGCGAGAAAATTTTGGCGCGAAAACTACTAACCCGGGAACAGT